CGCCAGCCCGGCCCGAGCTGCAGTACCGACCTTTGGCCGCCGGGCGGCACCGTCGCCCCGTCTCGCCCCTCCGAGCATCTCCCGGGAGCAGAAGCGACCGAGGCAGCAGAGAGTTTTCACGCCGCCGGCAGCCCGGGCGGCTGCTGAGGGCAGGAGGGCACGGACGGAAAGCTGCTTCGTGCCCGAGGGGCAGCCGCGGGCAGCAGGAACCAGCACGGCCGAGCAGAGCCGCGGCGGAGCTGCACCTCAGCGATGATTTTGGTTTTGCGCATGAAAATGGCGGGCTTTCTGCTCTCCAGATGCACAAATCCAGGCAGGTTTAGCTTTGACAGGAGCCCCAATCTGAGGGTTTTTTTCCTCCCATTGCAGCGTTAAAAGGATTTCCCCAGACTGCAGGCTCTAGGCTGGCTTTATTAACAATTCGGAGTTGGGCCATCTCCTCAGGGAGTGGCCACAGCTAACAAAAAGCAACCTCTCTATAAATGATATAACATACAATACAAAGAGCCTTTGGTGATTTTCCAGGAACTTTCAGCTCTCAATTCATCATCAATGTCAAAAGTCCACCGTATTCCACAGTTTCAACTAGTTCTTATCGTTCCGTTCCAATGCCTCTTCAGACACCACTGCTCACTGATGCAGTCTTTGGTCATCATGGCTTTGTATTGTTTTGCAGAGAAATCACTCTATAACTTGTGGGTATGTTTATTCAGCGCTGGGTGCATGGGGGATCGCTCCACCACAAGCATGCGCATCGTTTGCAGCTCCCGTCCGGCTTATATGTTACAAAATAGTGCATATTCATAAAACACCTATACATATACATAGTCTACCCCCGCCTCCCCTCGCTTCTCATGGTAATCAGGTCTCCTCCTCTTCCTCGCTGATGAACTTTTCTCCTTGTCGCTCTGCGCAGCCTCAGTTGTTCTCTGGCTTTCTTCCAGACCAATGTTTTGGGGTTGTCTGGTTTTCAAAGACTGGGGGGGGGACTTCTCTTTGGGCTAGGAGTTAATCGCCTAGCAACGTTATCAGTACTTGGTATGTCTTTTTTGAACAGTCCCATACGCCTCCCCTTGTTTTTGCGCAGGCCTTGCACCAACAATCTAAGATTGTTTAGACTCCCTGTCTCAGTATCTTCTGAATAATCTTCATCATAATTCACTTTTAGCCTTTGAGAAAAGACTTAAAACGTTCTATTTAACATACACTTAATCTATGTCTAGCTTTTCATTACCTAGCCTTTCTAAGTATTGTCAGTATTGTTCCTAGAGCACCTGTGCTCTATTAATTAAGCCTATAAAACAATATTTATTAATTATTCCTTCTATTAACAATATCCTAAGAGAAAAGTGTTTTCTAAAGCTTATTCCTTTTACAGCAGACCCAGAATCAGGGATTTGGGGGTATTTTTGTGCTGTGGCAGCAACACAAGGGCGGGCCCTGCTGTCACGGCGTTAACAGCCAGCAGGCAAACCTGGCCCAGGGGGACATCACAAGATACAGCAACACATCTGAAAAACAAAAGCCCCAAATCCTATTCCATCTTGAAAACATACAACAGAAGAATTTCTGTCAGAATAAGGGTCAGAATGGCAGTGGAGCTCGGGGAGGACTCTGTGTGAACAGGCCAGCTCCACAGACAACACACCCTGGCAAGGCCGGAGCGATTTCAACCCCTCAAAATCACCCACAAGCCCAGGCCATACGACCCTGAGCACATCCTGCCCATAAAAGCAAACGCTCTTGCTGCTGTCGCAACATCTCGTCCCGTCCTTACAGCAGGGCTGCAGGGAGGGAGCCCTGCGAGGTGCAGGACGAGGCTGCACCGCCACCAGAAGCTACGGCTGACGGACGCGCCGCGACAGCCACGGCCCTTGCGCTGCTGCTGCTGCATGGGTCAGTGACATCAGGAGTGTAAAACTGTAAAAACTAAAAAAATAAAGCTCAGTAAGTCACTCTATACTCTAAAGGCATGCATGTTTATATACATTCAATAAAAACACACTATTTAAGTATTTGATTTTCCTTTTGCGTTAATTGAACTTGCATAGCTGTGAATTGATGCCATTCAATTATCTACCTCCAAAACACCCTGTTATAATTGGACTAGGGAGGGTTTTTGGTGGTTACATAACTACGAGGGACCTGTAGCCAGCTGCACAGCCCTAAAGAGATGCTATTGAACTGGCAGGGAAACATGACATTGAAAGTGAGATAGAAATCAAGTAAATACTTCAGAGCACTCTGCCAAAATATCTGGGGAGAACACCTGTAACATTCAGCTCCCTCTCTTTTTAAAGATTTAGAACAAATATCTAACTGCTTCAGTACACCTAATAAATTGCTTGCTATAGCTATTTGGCAGTTACCACTTAAACCACAAAGTCAATTTGTAAATTACGCAATTTTAACTTCTTTTTAAAAGTTTCATTTATGATAGGAAAATCAGCAAGGCAGAAGATCCCTCAGATGGTTTTATCTGGGGGGTGAGGGGATCGAGTGCTACAAAGAAGGACTGGCAGATTTACTAATGCTTTTGGCCGCACTGAAGCATGCAGAGGAACATATTTTTTATGACATCCCAGCTGTTACAACTGAGAACCCAGAGACCAGCAATGCCATCAACCTTAGGAAGACATGCTGTGCTTGGGTCTTTGGAAGGAGAGTGACTTTTTTTTTTTTTAAGGAGAGTGAAAAGTCCTCTTGCTAACAACTACTGTCCAGCACATCATCTTTCGAGATCCATTCTGATGAGAAGTTCATAAAATGCAACTTCTTTGAATGAGAAAGATTTCCATTGTGGAAGGTCTCTTTCTAGCTGAAGTCAAAATTACACACTGTAGGTTAAGGAAAAAGGATATTACTAAAGCAATAACTCACCGAGAACACATCCGGACTCACTGTCCCTAGTTACAAGGCTGCTAACGCTTCTTGGGAAAGCCTGAAAAACACGTGGAAGCGATGCTGATTTGTCCTATTCTGTCCATGTCTCCTCTTTGACCTTGACTGCTTTAGTACAGATGCTAGGGTCTCAGTGAGGTTTTCAAGTGCTACTGCAAGATATTTAAAAAAATTTTTTACTGAAAAAGCATACAGCTTTTACCGTGACAACAAAGTCTGTTTCTTCTGAACATCTGAACACTGAGGAACAGGTTCTTTCCTCTTTTACTAAAAAATTGTTTTCACAGTATCGTTTAATAGTAAATGCACAGAAATAGAAGATTATGTTTTGGGGAAGAAAAAATAAACAGAGGGAAGTCAGTCTTGCATAGGCATAAGATGCTCCAGAACACACCTTACTTTTAGTAAGTATCTGTGTTAAAATACTACATATAAAAATTACAGAAGGAGCATTGGCACAATCTTAATGTTAACTTTAAAGTCCACACTACCAGTGCCTTGGGAAAATGCAGACACATGTCCTAGACCTACCTTGTACTTGTAGACCGTTCTGGATTCCTTCCATCCCTCTTATACTTTCATGGCACAAGAAAGGGCGACCATGGTGAAATGGGGGCAGATGACATCCAGCTGACAGAGGAAATAAACCTTTAGCATAAAGCCAGGTAGGAGTCTAAAGCTTCTTTTATTTTTGTGAAGATAGTACAACTAAGCAGAGGAAAAAAGTATTTTTCATCATCTTTGGTACAGTTCTTGATTCAGGCCATGAGAGCTTTTGCATTTTCTAGACAACCGTGCCCTTTTCTTGACTCACTGGCAGCTTTAGTTTCACTAGAATTCTCCTTCCCAGATCCCCACAAGTGACAGACACAGATATATCTACATGCCTTTTCTCAAGCCTTAGCCAAGACTTCCTCACCCTACACAGCCCAAGTTGAATATTTTTGTTAAAGACCACAGCAACCCACCTGTCCTTGCTGCCTCCCTGCAAGAGAAATGTTTTTTCCATGCCCTTTCTCTAAACAGTCAAGATCTTTTAAAACTGTAGCTGTGCCACCAAACCTGCTTAGGGTCCCTCCCAGCTTCGGACTGTCCTTAGATTTAACAGGCACATGCTCTATACCATCTTCCATCAGCAATACCACCTCCTGCTCTCAGACCCAGAGCATAACCCTGCGGATGTCCACACACACACCCCTCACTGTTTTGATCAGGAGCCACCAAGCATCCCTGCAAGCACAGCTGCAGGCACCAGATTAATTTCACCTACGCTGTGAGTTACGGATTTCCGTGAACGTAATTTCTGAAGCTTTAAACTGGAAACTGTACCTTGACACTTTGCCACAGTAGAAGTAATCTCTAACTAGAACTCTATGAAAATGCAAACCCACAACAGCAGCTTCAGAAATATTTGGACCAGAAACAAGGGAGAAAACAAAACAGCTTCATTTCACTCACAGGAAGACAGCAGACAGTCTTTTGCAGGGGGGAAAAAAATAAAATTGTGTTAGAGACTGTAAAAAAGTATGATTTGTGAGGAGCGGTGGGGAAATTAATGAAAGTGAAGACCAACAGCAGCAACATTAAGTGAAATTTGGCTTTAATTCTGATCATGTACCTAAGCGACTTTCCAAGGCTATACCTCTATCTTATGAATGACTAGTTCTTTATTGGAAGGAGAAACTTTTTTACATAAAGTCCTAGACTGAAGACTCCACTGAACAGAATGGGGATTGAGCCACAGGGCAACATGCCATCAACCACTCAAAAAAAACCCCCCTCAGTTTCCATCACATTTCATTCATTACATTTCAACTGGCACCTTGATGCTCATAAGCTAACTATAATGATACTATGTGTTACTAAAAAATTTAGTTAATACAGAAAAAAAAGGTTATTTCCAACTTGCCCATAAAATTGGTACAAACAAATAGAAGAGGAATACTTGACCCTAAAGAAGGTAACAGGCAACTCTTAACTGATTACAGATGAGAGTCTGTTCTCACACTTGAAAGGAAAACACTTCTAACGATCAAAGGACCAATTCAGGAACAGGGCATGTGCCATTAACTGCAATTTTCCATCAGATTATCTGTACTGGCAGCAAATTTGCCTCTTCTGTGGGTTTGATGTGAAGGATCTGCAGGGCCCTTGAACTCCCCAATGTTTCTTCCTGCTCCCTCAGCCGCACACATGCAAAAACCTGAGCAACGAGTGGAATAAATGCAGTATTTTCTTCACGTGACACAGGAGGTGACACTAGGAAGAAAGGAGGCAAAAAATGAACCTGCTTGTCCCAGCCAGACAGCGGTGAAAAGACAGGGAAGGATTTTTGACAGAGGAACCGTGCGGGGCTGGGCCAGGCACCCGGGGAGCTCTGACCCCGGTTTCTCTCCCCTTTGCCAGGTACCGAGGAGACACCGACACCTTGCGCTGCCACCTCGCCCACACCCCAGGAGAGCCAGGGGAACCCCACCTCCCTTCTGCCCTCGGGAATGGGAGCAGGAGAGACCCTCCACATGGATTTAATCCCCGAGGGAAGAGGCCAGGCTCCCCACTGGCAGCAGGACGACTCTCCTCCCTGCTGCCCGGAGCTCCTGGCTGGGGACAGCCCTGCCTGTGCCTGGCTGCTCCTCAGCCATGCCGGGGGGGCCCGTTGAGCCAAGGGGTGCTCCAGCCAGTCGACGCCCCGGCAGAGCACAGCTCCTGCTCGTCACAGCCACACAGAATCATGGCTCTGGCTAATGCCGGCTCCGGACAGCAGACAGCCCATCTGATTCCAGCTCCTGGCTACACGTCTGGCTCAGTGAAGCTTCAGCTCTGCTCTGAAGCTCCAGGTTCTTTCAGCTGCTTCTCCTTACAAGCTCCATCTAGTCACAACAGTCTGGGCTTTTGACAAGGCTGTAAATCAATTGCTGCCATAACATCATAGCTGTACACTGTATGAACATTAATTAGTTTGAACGATTAATTATTTAATAACTATTCTAGCATACAGAGAAGAGCTGGGCTCTAAGAGGGCATGCAGGGTCTGAAAAGCATCTTTCTATCCAGAGACCACCTCAGATATCAAGTTCGGCCGGGTGCACACCGGCCTTCCAAGCTCTGGGGTCCGACCTCCAGGGAGGTGCACACCCCCTGCCCACCCCCTGCTTTCCCTCACTGCCGCCAATGCCCTCCCCCTGCCCTGCACAAACACCCCAATTGGCTTCTGCTTTTGGCCCCCAAACCATCACCCTTAGCAACCATTTCTGAGCTTGTTCTCAAGCCCTAGAGCCACAGCACTTGACCTCTATGCCTGAGCCCAAAACCAAACGACTTACTCCACTCTGCCAGGGCCTGAAAAAAATACAACGCAAGCTGTTTCCGAGCCCCCAAATCAGCCACATCGGCCTCTCCTCAAGCCACAGCAACGGAAACTCCTGGTCTCCACTTCCAGCCCCCACAACAGCTCACCCTGTCTGCTCTCTGACCCCCTCTGCAGTCCCCACGGGCGATGCCGAGGGGGGGAATGCAGCCACCCCCATCGCCCCACGTGCAGTTTCGGGGAGCGCTCGGGAACTGCCGAGGGCCCGGCCCCACCTCTCCGCGGGGCAGCACCAGCCCAAGCAGGGCACGGGTTTAGAATCGCCGTTTCAGGCTTTATTTCTCCGCGACCGCCAGCATCGCCGGGCCCACCCCCCGGGCTGGAGCACCCCCGCAGGGAGCAGGGCCCAGCCACCCCGGGAGCGAAGCCCGGCCCGCCCAGGCCCTTCCCCGCCAGAGAGAAGCTGTTAGCCGGGA